GTGTTTGGCCGGTTTGCTGAACAGGTAGTGGCTGTTTCGTCCTTTTTACGGAAGCCTTTGCGAGAAGCGCACAAACCCAAACTGCGACTTCGAAATCTGGTAAAGCAACGCAGTACCGCAGGCTTACACGAATATCTGAACATCGGATTCTGTCGAAACGCCTAAGCCCAACGAGTCGTATCAGAAAGCCCATTTTAGCCGTTCGTTCATACACGTGATCGAAGTTAGTTTGTCAGTTATGGCTCATGACTCATGGCAAAAGGTGAGTATTTTGAAGGAACTCGATTTTAGTGATGCGATTTTATAAAAGCTCGTTCATTTTCATCGGCTGCTACCTTCAGCAGAGCAACAGTGGAATCGTTTTTCTAGCTCTGGTACTGAGTCAATTCAAACTGGTCAAATCTACTGACAATGTCAGAAATTCCGTACCTCAATGTTTAATAACCAAGTATACGATATAAGAGTTTATTTAATGTGCATGCCACGGAATATTGCTACGCTAGAATAAAAGATGAAAGCAGCTGATCGAATACACGCTTTAATGATAAATTAATCAGTTAGTCCAATGAAATGAGATATTTGTGGATTAAATAATTAATCTTATTATGCTCGCTGTCAAGGAATAGTAAAGCTGTACGGGTCGTTATCTCATCTTCTAACTTTACGACGATAGTTAATAACGATTGTGTTCAGATGAAGCCTGAAAAAATGAGAAAAATGCGATAATCAGAGATATAAGGCAAGTGCACTGAATGAATCAAGTCAAACCTAACGAAAAGCGAATAAATCGGTCTTGAATCCAGGTAGCACGCAACGCTTGCGTTTCTGAAACATACCGAAGCGGAAATTTCGATGTTTCAGCTGTTATCAAAGGAAATGACGACAGTGTGGAACAGAAAGAAGGGAAATAGAAATGTTCATTACGGAATCTAGACCAAATGGAACCTAGAGCGAATTTGAACAGTCGACCAAATTTAATATACAGAATAGCAATTGCGAAAGATGTGAAAAACAGCACAAAATTACATATTGTGTATCATACTATCCTAGATTCGACTCTATGAAGCAGGGGATGAAATTCAGTGGCCAGATGCAAGCCTTCATTAGTGAAAACAACGATTCCATTTCGCTTTCTTTGTATTCCCTGACGCTGCTAACTTTTAAGCTGCAAGAATTGAGGCGCCCTTCTTAAGCAGGTAAAAATGCGCATGGAAAACAGTCCCATTGTATTCAAGCAGGCAGCCTATGGCGATGGCGGAAGCAGATAGTGATTTTATAAGGAATCTAAATCAGAGTTCATGCCCCGGGATAGTTTCACTGCCTTGGTCATGTCTGGTAAGGATTACGGCATTGGCAGAAAACCAGCCGTCGTCTACTGAAAATACTGGTTGCGTTTCGCTTCATGGACACGAAACCAAAGCTTAGTTGAAACAGAACATAAAAATCTATAGTCATGCATGAAATACGAACTAAAATTTCTGGGTATCCAAAAAACGGAATCCATCTTTAGCACAAAGGCTTACAGACGAGCACATCACAGCAGAGCCCAGTTTTGTTTAAAAAGGACGGCAGCTCTTAAACAAGGAGCGTCGATCTGACGAAGCCCAAGTGCACCACCCACTAACACTGTAAGCAGGATGAAAAGTTGGAGCGAATGCAGTGTAAGTCGATACACCTACTTCGTTTTAATGGTTAGTGCGAGTCTTTGCACATGGACAAATCATGAAATTTTTTGATATTTTTATTTATACATAAACGATTCATTTTCGTCGATCGAAATGAGGCATATATATTATGAAAATGTATATCGTAAACGACAGTTTTTCATACCGTCTGAAAATCAGAATTTGCTATATTTATGAGTATGGCGTTGCACCATTACGAAAAACAATCTAACGGTGCATTCAAACGTCCTCCATCAATCGTCATAAGTTTCGTGTCATATGGCATTCGTCAGAAAGTATACAAAATCACTTTTGCCACCTGCTCATGGTCAAGTTTTTCGTCATCGCTTAGAGACATCTGTTTTATTGGTTTCGAATGTATTATTTATTCGCATTATAATGTTTACCATGTTTATGCTACCAGCGATCAATAAACTCCTAGTCACCACCGTGACCATTAACAGCAATGGAAGGCGAGAACAAAGAACGAACGGAAGATATGATGCGGAGAGAGCGTACCATTCTGCTCAGAGCTGCTGCCGAATCGATGTAGCGATAGACCAGCTACTGTCCCACTGTTGGTGAGTGACCAGAGCTGTCAAGTGGTCAGTGACCATCAACACGGCACTTCACCTCGTCGATCGTACATCGATTTTTCTCCCGTCAGGTTTATACGCCGAATGATACGGCGAGTTCGGCAAAGCAGAAAGTTTCAAAACCTCTTTACCTTCTTTACAATGCCTTGTGACCTGTTGATCGTCCCATGAATCG